GGCGCTCCGGAGCGGGAGCTGGGCGGCCGGCCCTACGGCGGCGTCCTGGACAGTCCCCACGCCCGCCCCGAAGTGGGCATTCCGGACGGCCCGCCCCTCAAGGACAACCTGAGCCTGAGACACCGGAGGACCGGGTATGCGCACGCTCCGGGGGTCCTCGCCTGCTGCTGCCCGGAGGGGCGGGGGCGGCGACGAGCGGCGCGGGGACAAATGGCAACGCGGGCCCGCGCTCAGGGGAGGGCGGGTCTGCGCCTCCCGGGCTCGCGCGCTGTCATTTGAAGAGTTAGTTTCTCAAAACGAGGGGTCAGCTGGTCAGGACAGTTCAAAAGGGGCCGGTTGGAAACAGGACACCAGGAACTGCCCCTCGGCCCTCGGAACCCGGACCTCAGGGCAGGGGCTTATTTGCCCCTCTCCCGACCGCGGGCGCAGGAAGGACGGGAGGGCTGCGCGGTCGGGGAGTGCCAAGCCGGGCCTCGTGGGCCTCCTCTTCTGTCGCGGGAGGCCCTCNAGCGCTCGGCGAGGCTGAGGGTGTGCGTGTGTGTTTGGGGGAGGGTGGCGGCACATACCACGGCGGGGTGGGCTGAGGGGGCGCTGGCAGCCAAGCGGAGGCCGCCTGGAGGACACGGCAGCCGCCCGGAGGAGCGAGGCGGGGAGATGGGGCAGGCGAGGACGACCGCGAGCTCGGCGGTAATTCGACTGCTCCGCTGCGGCGCGGACTTGTCCCCGACTTCCGTCCGGGTCGCCGCGACTCCAGAGGTGAGCTGCAGGCTGTCCCCTACGGTGGCAGCCGCAGACCCAGAGGTGACGCGGGTCCCCTCCCTCCGCCGCGCTACCTCCTGCGTTCCGCTTCTGACACTTTCGCAGCCTCTGAAATGGTGTCAGAGAGGGGCGGGTGTCGGGGGACTCCGAGCTCGCGTCCTGCACCCGCGCTGCGGAAGAGGACAACGGTGACTGCAGGCTCCTGGGGCCGAGGTCCACCCAGACCCTGAGCGTCCCGAGGTGGGGAGGGGGGCGACTGGGCGATAATAGGAAGACTTGGAGGGGAGAGAGAGAAGAATGTGGTTCATTTGTCCCTGACGCCACTTAACTTTCCATCTCTGGAGTCTGCTTCTAACTTTCCTTGTCCTCACCCCGAGGGACCTTAGCCGGAGGAAGACGCAGGGGTTTCAGCCAAACCACCAGGGATTTAGAAAACATGAAAATCCCCGAAATCCCAGTACGGCCTGGGACTCATTAACTGGGCCTCGCGGATGCGGTTGTTCATATTACCCCAGATCTTCCTTTCCTTCCATCCCCTCCTGGCGCCCGGGAGGGGCTCCGAGAGGCTTTAGTCTTCTGTTGTGATGAAAGAGCCACGCGCCACCCCACGCCCACCCCACTCCGCTATCCTGAGTGTGAATCTCCCAGATTCAAACCGAGACTGGCTCGTTCAGGAACTACTTTCCTTTGCCCCCGCGGGTAAATTATTCCCGGTGGAAGGGGGGGGGGGGAGCTCGATCACCGTGACAAGGAAGAGGCAGAGGTACCTGTCCCAGGAGTGTGTGTTGGGGGCGGGGGGCATGTAAGCCAGGTAGGGAGACGTGGAAGGTTCCCAGGTCCAGATGCCGCGAC